TATCTTTCATGTCAAATATAACCTTTCTTTTATATTTTTCACTTCGCATCTCTCTAAGGTACATTTAAAGTAATTTTTTTGGAAAATCTGTCTTCCAACTCATAATTCCATTTAGTTTGTCTGATCTGCTATTTAACTCACCTATGGAATTTTAGATTTAAATAACTGTATCTTTCATTTCTAGAAGTTCTTTTGATCCTTTTTCAGATCTTTTTGGTTTGTCTTGATACTATCTTATTTTTTCTAATATTTTTATTCTCTCATGTATTTAATAATTCAAACATGCTTTATAGTCTCTGTTAGTTCTATTATTTGAAATTTGTAGGAGTCTGCTGCAATTAGATTCTGACTCATTAATGGTGTGCCAGTATCTTGGGTAATTTGGATTATGAACTAATCATCTCCAGGGAACTTTTTCTCTGGGAACAGGAGGAGTCTAAGTTGAGATGTATCTTCCAAAAAGGCTTTCTGCTTGCTTGTTTGTTTCTGCCAGGCTTCCTACAGAACATTACTAACCTAAGACTATTTGTAAAATATATTTTTCCCCAAGAATTCTAATATTCTGGAGGTAGCATAAATTCAATCTCCTAAATCTTTTTTAAGGCAGGCTGTAGTTCCCAATTTCCAAGGGATATTCTTTTTCTCCTATCTTGAGTCCAAACCCATACAGACAAGCCTCTATGACTTACTTTTCACTCTATACTTTTTCCCTTGATAATACCTTCTGAAATGAAAGCTTGAGTTGTGTCTGTCAGTGATTCTAAGATTTTACATATCTCAGATTCTGTCCTGAGTTCCAGACCCTAGCAACCAACAACCTACTTGAATATCTAAGGTACCACCTCAAATTCAACTAGTTTTTTTAAAAAAAATATTTTATTATGTTATTACAGTTGTCCCATTTCCCCCCTTTATTCCCCTCCACCCTGCACACCCTCTCCCTTCCACATTCCCCCCTTTAGTTCATGTCCTCATAAGTTCTTTACCTTCTGCATTTCCCATACTATTCTTGCCGTACCCCTATTTTCTCCCCACTGTCTATACTTATTCTCTGTACCTTCTCCCCCTCTGTCCTCCTCCCACTCCCCTGTTGCTAACCTTCCAAGTGATTTCCATTTCTGTGGCTCCTGATCTAGCAGTCCACTTAGTTTGCTTTTGTTTTAGGCATGGTTGTTAATAACTATGAGTTTGCTGTCCTTTCACTGTTTATATTTTTATCTTCTTTTTCTTAGATAAGTCCCTTTAACATTTCATATAATAAGGGCTTTTTCATATAATGAGTGATGATGAACTCCTTGGATTTGACCTTATCTGAGAAGCACTTTATCTGCCCTTCCATTCTAAATGAAAGATTTGCTGGATAGAGCAATCTGGGATGTAGCTCTTTGGATTTCATGACTTGGAATACTTCTTTCCAGCCCCTTCTTGCCTGTGAGATCTCTTTTGAGAAATCAGCTGACAGTCTGATGGGAACTCCTTTGTAGGTGACTGTCCCCTTATCTCTTGCTGCTTCTAGGATTCTCTCCTTCATTGTAATCTTGGCTAATGTAATGATGATGTGCCTTGGTGTATTCCTCTTTGCCAACTTTTTTGGGACTCTCTGAACTTCCTGGACTTCCTGGAAGTCTATTACCTTTGTCAGCTTGGGGAAGTTCTCCTTCATTATTTGTTCAAATAGGTTTTCCACTTGTTTCTCTCCCTCTTCCCCTTCTGGTACCCCTATAATTCGGATGTTGGAATGTTTAAAGATGTCCTGGAGGTTCCTAAGCCTCTCCTCCCTTTTCTGAATTCTTGTTTTTTCATTCTTTTCTGTTTGGTGGTTTCTTTCTTCCTTCTGGTCCACTCCATTGATTTGAGTCCCAGTTTTCTTCCCATCACTATTGGTTCCCTCTGCATTTTCTTTCATTTCACTTAGTGTAGCCTTTATTTTTTCTCTAATTTGTTACCAAAATCAATCAGTTCTGTGAGCATCCTGATCACCAGTGTATGGAACTGTGCATCTGATAGGTTGGCTATCCCTTGGTTGCTTAAAAGTATTGGCTTTGGGGCTTTGATTTGTTCTTCCATTTGGGCCATTTTTGGTCAGGTTGTGCCTGTTATGTATGATGGGCGGAGCCTTAGGTGTTCACCAGGGTGGGGCAACCCAAGTTGGCTGGATTGTGATGCTGTATATGGGGGCGGGGTCCGAGAGGGAAAAAAATGGCACTTTGCTCTGTCTTCTGTTGCACCTCAGTCCATTCCTTGCTTCCCCCAAGCAAACTGGGCCTTTCTGATGCTGATTCCTTTGTGGGTGGGCTTGTGTACATTCTAGGACCCTGTGGGTTTCTCCAACAAATTTTCTTCTGAGGGTGGGAGTCTCTTCCTGTGCCTCAACCCCCACAAGTGTTTTCAATGGGTGTTTTGAGGCTTTATTTCTCGGTGCTAGGACCCTGGGTTCCGCAATCTGTCTCACTCCCCAGTTACCTGCGCATAATAGTGGGACCGCTGCCCTGTCAGCCAGCCAGCTTGTGCACAGTGCCCCTCTTCTCAATCATCACCTTGTGGGGTCTGCCTGTTGCTACCCCACACCCGGGGTTTGCCAGCCACTGCCTGGGTGCCCAGGGTGTTCCTTGGGGTGCCTTGCACACCCAGGGTACCTTGTGTGACCAGTGTCACTGATTCCTATGCTGTGACCCCTCACCACTCACCTGCCCAACTCCGCCCTGCCTACCAGTCTGGATGAATGTGTCTATTTTAACTCCTTGGTTGCTAAACTTCCATACAGTTCAATTTTCTTTCAATTTTAGTTGTTACTTTGTTTCTAAATTGTTATTGTCCTTATTTTGGTTGTTCGGGGAGGCACAGTGTCTCTGCCTATGCCTCCATCTTGGCCAGAAATCAAATTCAACTAGTTTGAAACCAATAAAATTCATGACCTTCCCCCCAATGTAGTTCCCTTCTAGTGTTCTTTATTTCAGTGAATGGTGTGACTACTCATAGAGTTGTTTGTTCCAGAAATCAGGAGCCATTCTTGACATCTGTTTTCTCATTGCCTGACCCAACCTATCATCAACGCCTATCAATTTTACCTCTTAAATATCTCTTAAATCTACCCACTCTTCCCATCTTCACTGCTTTCAGACTAGTTTAAGCTGCCATCATCTTTACCGTGCTGGTTTCCCACATTCATTCCTCCAGTATATTCTCCACAATGAGTGAATTTAATCAAATACCAATTGAATTGTTTCTTTTTGCTGCTAGAAACTTTCATTCACTGGCTTTACATTCATGGCTCTTAAGTCTTTAATATGGTCTACTGGGCTTTGTGAGACCAAAGGTGCCTTCCTCTCAGAGCTGGACTTGTGCTATTCTCTTCTTCCCACTCTCACTTTCTATACTCCAACCACACTGGCTCTCATTGTGTTACTTAAAACCACAGCCATCTGTCTTCCCACACAGCTCTGGCACAAGCTGTTTCCTTTTTCTGGAATGTCAATTCCCCTACCTCGAACTTGGTCTAGTCAACACTTAATTCATCCTTAATGTTTTTGTTCAAACATTATTTCTTCAGTTTTCATCTCTTCTTTCAAAGTCTTTATGTTAGTTCATAACTGTATATTCATTACTGTGAATGTTTGCTTAGTGTCTGTTTTCCCCCACTGTTTTATGAGATCAGAGACCTTGTCTAGTTCTGTTCAGCACTATACCATGAGTTCTGGCATGGCCATAACACAAAGAGTGCCTAGTAAGTATTTCTTGAATGAATAAATGATCATTAAAAGTATCCTTAAAATATACATCTATTCAAATAATCTCAAAGGAGAGATGAAGGGAACAGAATTATGGACAAAACTAATGACAACTATATTGGGATCCATTATATTATTCTCTCTACTTTTCCATATGTTTGAAATTTTCTATAAAAAGATTATTCAACTTACTAAATCAAAATACTTAATTTGAGTTTGATAAGTTTGAATTTAATATTAAAAATACAGTATTGTCTCTTTAGGAAATGTGTTGAAAACTACCCTGCCTGGTTTCAGAAACTATAACTCCCCAGGGCTAAGACTGAGTAAAAACACCGTGGGACCATAAGCCACTAAGGAGACAAAGCTTATCTTCTTTGCAGGGGTGCCTGCCACCTCTGCCTACTTTACTTCACCCTGCTTTGCCCCAGGGGGATGACTGGTTAGCCAATGATGGGTAAAATTCCTGAAGGGAGGGATGACCTTCATTACAGGCTCGGTAATGAACGGGCCCTCGGGGAAGGGCTTGGGGGTTACAGAAAAAGAAAGTGATGGACCCTCGCCCCTCAGCTTTGACACAGCCTGAGTTTTCATTCTGTCTACAAGAAGCCTCCTAATCTCTTGGCTGCCTTACTTCCCCTGCCTGACTTAAGCCTGAAAGCCTTTGGATTTCATTACTTGGAATACTTCTTTTCAGTCCCTTCTTTCCTGTGAGGTCTCTTTTGAGGAATCAGCTGACAGTCTGATGGGAACTCCTTTGTAGGTGACTGTCCCCTATCTCTTGCTGCTTCTAGAATTCTTTTAAAAATTCAATGCTGGAGGTGGGTGCAGCCTTGTGCTGGAAAGGGCAGGTTCCCTAGGGTAATCGGGCCTAAGAAAGAATGCATAAAATCTTATGAAACCTACTTTGCTAATAGTAGCAAAGCATGGAGTTTGTTCCCCAAAGTTTTATGGCCCCTTAACTATCTAACCCTGTTTCAGAATAAGCCTTCAGAGTTCTTTGAATATTATCTATTGTTTGATCATTTCTTCCTGACAATGACTGATGAGCTTTATGTAAAAACCCTCTACTCCTATGCAAATTAAACCAAATAAGATCCCATTGAAGAACAGGTTCATGGACCTTCTACTTTGAGAGATTGGTCACCTTTCCTCCCTAGCAGATCATGTCTTGGTAGACTTCTTCTCATTCGTGGCAGCTGGAGGGACCTGTGGGCAGAGCCCTCCCACAGAAATAAATATTTTATTTAACTATGAAGAAATTATACTGACCTGAAGATATTTCGGTAATGGTTAATTGGACCATTTAATGCTCCAGGCTGAGAAAATACATAAATATGAGCTTCAAGATCCTCTGTTGTTAATTGAAATCCTTTTCTTCCAATGCCAGAGCTATCACTGGTCAACATGTGTTTCAAAGCCTAATATAAGTGAAAGAGAATAATTAAAACTTGTTTGTTACCTAATGATACACTAAATCTTTGGCTTTTAAAAAAGGATGATGGTCAATGTGCATTGACAACTCCTCATTCCTGCTCAAAAGAGGTTGGACACCTTGTTTACAAACACATTTTATAGATTTCCGCTTTACTGGCTTTACTTCTCATGTTCCCTTCTAATACCCCATGCACAGTTCACCTTTATGAAAAGTGTCCTGTCTTTTTGGTGCCCATTCACACTCTACAAGGCCAACCTCAACTACTATCCCAACCCCCAAGTCTTCTTCAACACTCCAGCTAATAGTGGTTCACCCGTTTACTGACAAGTTCTCCCCACAAAGTTGTGTTAACTTTTTTTGATAACCACACAGAGTAAAAAACACATTTTACATCCTGATCCAGGTCATACTTTTACATATATATATTTCTGAAACAAAGTTTTAAAGAAGTATTTCTTACCCTTATTATACTGTGCACTGCTATTTTCAATCCAATTCTGTTCTACCTTATTTTTAAAAATTCAAACTGCAAGTCACTAAATTGATTTCATGACTCACTAATGGCTTCCCCACCCACAACTTGAAAGACACTGCTCTATACCAGCATTTCTCAAAGTATGGATCTAAACCACCTGCATCAGAATTCTTGGGATTCTTGTTCAAAATGCAGATCCCTTAACCCAAAACACACTTACAAAAATATGAAATGACATATATACGAGGGGATTAACTGTAATACTGTTTGTAGTAAAAAAAGACTGCAAACAAATCAAATGTCCATCAGTGGGAGATTAGTTGAATGAACTATGGTTTAACCACACAGTGGTGTATTATGTGTTCTTAGTACTTCAAAAAAAAGTTAAAGATAATCTATATGCTGAAATGAAGTGATCTCCAGAAAATATTAAGAGGGGAAAAAAAACAACAGTGGGAAACAGTGTTTATAGGATGTTTCCTTTTGTGTAATAAGAGGGAGATAAATATATATTTTAATATGTAAATGATATATTAGAATTAATTTAACACAGTATATTATTGATTATAAATTAGTAAACCAATTAATATATTATGTTGACAATATATAAAAATACATATTAAAGAGTTTATTTTTAGAGAGGAGAAGAGAGGGAGAAAGAGAGGAAGAGAAACATCAATGTGTGGTTGCCTCTGGAGTGCCCCCTACTGGGGACCTGACTCACAAACCAGGTGTTTGCCCTAGACTGATAATCAAATCCAATGAGCCACACCAACCAAGGCATTTGCTTATATTTTACAAAGAAAAAATAAAAAGATGAAATAACTAATTAAAATGTTTTTTTTGTGGGACAGGGAAGAAATAGAGAAGACAGAGGAAACATATGTAAGTGGACCTCTCTGATGTACCTTGTTTTAGAGTTTTGACTTGAAACCATATCAATGTTTCATATAAAATCATAGAAGTTACGTAAAAACACTGAAGTCATAAATTTGCTTTGGAAATATGAGTAAGAACTCATGATTATGTGTCCAAATTTGATCCAATGGAAAGATCTAGAAGCAATGAAAACCCAGTAAAATAATAATCACCTGGACACCCAGAGTGTGGCCTCTAAATACCATTTCCTACTAAAAGAAGCCAAAGTTCCTTTGCTAAATGATGTGGGGCAGAAAATAAAAGATAAACCTAGGTCATTAAAGAAGCAAGCTATCACTGACAAAAGGGCTTTTGTCGAAAGGACACAAGAGTCAACCTGAAAAGGTTTCCACTTTCCTAATATGGGATAATTTGGGCACCAAAAAGAATAATGACTGTAATTGATGGGTACATATTAAATTTTTTTTTAAGTCATGAGCTCACAATGATATGAAAAAAAGTCGTCATTTCTAAGGTACCAACTCATTACTCTGGGAAGTTGTTTAATAGAAGAAAAGAAGCATTTGTCCTAACATTCTTGTGTGAACTGTATTTCAGAATAACCAAATAGTGCATGGGCAAAATTCTTCTTTATAGAAGAATTCCAGTCAATAAAAGCAGAAAGAATGACACAATTTGAAAATCACCATTTTGCACACCCTAATGAAATAATAGGCCTAGCCAATGATAATGAAATGGTGCTAAAATTATTTGGTAAAAGGTTGTTAGGAGATTTTTAGACAGGCATGCTTACTTTGTTTTAGGGTTTTGTTTACTACCCAGGGCCTCCACTTCGGCTGCTGTCCAACTCTCTGCCCTGGCATTCATATTCCCTTATCTCCCCATGGAATTTTCTCTAAAGAGAGGTATGCCTAGGGGAACAGGCTCTCAAAACAACTGAACGACAGCCAGGCACTCAAATATATAAACACAGATTTGAAAAGTAAGTAAACCTATAGATGAGGCCTTAGAAGCATTTATTAAGTTTTAGTATTTGTCTATTTTTCTTTGTTAAGTATGGACTTTAATTTAAAATAGTTCCTTTTTTGCATAGGAGGAAATGCCTAACACAGTACATAGCATGTAACACATATACATTAAATAAGTTTAAAGCAAACAAAAAAACCATAGTGGATCAGTTCTTTTATTAGTGCTTCAGTCTATCTTTATTTTTAACTTCCTAATTTTGTCTTCTCTTGGGGCACTGGTTTTTTTTTTTTTAATTGAGATATAATTGACTTACAACATTAGTATTAGTTTCAGGAATTTAGCATAATGATTTGGTATTGTATATATTGCAAAATGATCACCACAATAAGTACTAGTTAACATCCATCAACTCTGTTTGACTTACCTTGAAATCATTTACTGAGAATATAAATTCTGGGAACCACGGTATTTGGAAGAAGTAATAATAGCTGGATTTGAACAGCTGAGCCGGGTGTCGTAAAATGTATTCTGAAATTAAAATGCCATGTTAGACCTTATCCAAGGAGTATAAATTACTTACTATTGAAAGAACTTTTTAAAGGAAATTTCACCTTTGAGATAATCCCATGAAAGAATCTATAAATAGGATTTCTGTGTATTTCTCTTTGGAACAATTTCTATGTTCTTATAGTTTATTATGGGTATTTCTGGTATTAAGAAAATTTATAGCACTTTAAATAAAAAGAAAGTTCCACTTTATAAAATCTTGAGTAGAAAGGAACAGGAAACCCAAACACACTGCTGTCCTTTAAGATCCGACTAGTGACCTAACACTTTTCCTAGGGATACATAGGGAGATAACATTCTATTGTTCAAAAGGTTTTCCTTATTGGTTGATTTGAATACCTTATGTATTTGACTTCAACAGAAAACAAAGTGTTTTTTGTACATTTACTCGTGTATCCAGAGAATTCATTCATTCAATTAATATTTGAATATCTACTGTGTTTGAGGAAGTTTGGCTGTGAACAAGGCAAAAGATGTTCTCATTAACTTATAAATGAGTAATGAATACTTAAAAGATCATCTTGATAGCAATAATGCCATAAAGGAAACAAAACAAGGAAATCCAAGTAAGAGTGATGGCTGGGTGATATGAAGGGACAAGTTTTTTTTTTAATTTTTAATTTTATTTTTTTCTAATATATTTTATTAATTATGCCATTACAGTTGTTTTATTCCCCCCTTCATTCCCCTCCACCATGCACACCCCTCCCCCACCATTCCCCCCCTTTAGTTTATGACCACGTGTCTCAAGTTCTCTTTAGATTCTATATTTCCCATACTTTTCTTGTCCTCCCCCCTATCTATTTTCTACCTACCATCTATGCTACTTATTTTCTGTACCTTCTCCCCTCTTCTCCTTCTCCCACTCCCCTGTTGCTAACCCTCCATGTGATCTTCATTTCTATGGTTCTGCTGCTGATCTAGCTGTCCTCTTAGTGTGCTTTTGTTTTAGGTGTGGTTGTTAATAACTGTGAGTTTGCTGTCCTGTCACTGTCCATATTTTTTATCTTCTTCTTCTTAGGTAAGTCCCTTTAACATTTCATGTAATAAGGGCTTGGTGATGATGAACTTCTTGAGAAGGGACAAGTATTTAACAGACGTTGTCAGAATAGGCTTCTCTAGGCTGAGCCCTGAATGGTAAGAAAATATCAGCCATGCAAAGATCTAAGAAGAGCATGTTGGAACAGAAATTCCTGGGCCTGGCACACTCAAGAAGCAGAAAGAGGCTAATGTGGCTGGTGTACAGTGAATGAGAAGGGGAAGTGGCATGAAGTGAGTCAGAAAGAAAAGCAGAAGCTTGGTCAGATAGGGCCAAATGATGAGGATTTAAAGTGCCTTGGGAAGACACTCAAGTTTTAAACTGAAAAGTAATGAAATCATACATATTAAATGTGCATATTCTCAGGTAAGTGGAACATTGTCATCATTGGGTAATCATTGGTGACATCATTGTCACCATGTTGAACCGACTAGAGTTGAACCTATTGTTGATAAAATAGTTTCAGAAATATTCCAAGTATGCTTTTGCTGAAATGACCAATTACAGTTTGTCCAAAATAGCATTTACTCTGTGGTCCTGATCAATTGAGCAAGCATGTAGCATGACTTCTGTTGACTAATGGAACTGAGAAAAACATGATGTCTCTCAGTGTGATATTTGAATCCTAAGCATCCATCCTATTGCCTCAACAGAGATAGGGCAGATGGATATGTATCTAAAATTCAACTCTTACACTTACAATATTTAGGCAATCATGGTCCCTTTCTCCCTTAATTGCTCAATTTTGAGGAAGAAACAGAAAAATGTTGTATTGACAATTTTTTAAGATTTTATTTATTTATTTTTAGACAGAGAAAGGGAGGGAGAAAGAGAGACAGAGGAACATCAATGTGTGGTTGCCTCTTGTGTGGCCCCCACTGGGGACCTGGCCCCCAACCCAGGCATGTGCCCTGACTGGGAATTGAACCTGCACTCAATCCACTCAGCCAGGGCTGCTTTGAATTTTTTTTCCCCAGAGGCTGCTGTGGGTTGTAACAGTACCTGAACCCCAGAAAACATGACAAGGCTAGTTGAAGAGGACAAAATTATAATTTATGCCAAAACCAAACAAAAATGTTCCTGCCCATTGTTCACAGGCTTTTAGTTACTTTTAAGATTTTATGAATTCCCTTTGTAGAAGAGGTTCTCAAAGTATAGTCCATATACCCCTCCCCCCCGGGGATCCTGAAGACATTTTTAAGGAATGTATATTGTCAAAACTATTTCATAAGAAACAATAAGACATTGTTAGCTTTTCTCATTTGTTCAACATTTGCACTGATGGTACAAAAGCAATGGTAGATAAAACCATTAGATGCCTGGGCACAAATTAAGGCAGCAACACGAAACAATACTGGTAGTCACCATACTCTTCACTGGCACACACTTGAACTAAACAAATACATACATCAAACTAAATGCCAGTTTCACTTAATAATGTCCTTGATGAGACAGCAAAAATTATTTTTAATCTATTTCAACCTTTGAGTGCACGTCTTTTTACATTACAATGAAATAGAAAGTACACATAAAGCAGTCGTGTTGCAGACCCAAAGACAATGGTTGTCTTGAGGAAAAGCACTTCTGCAACTATTTTGAGTTGATAAGTTGAACTGCCTACATTTTTGAAATGGAAAACTACTTTTAGTTGAAAGGATGACTAACAAACTATCACCAGTCAGACCTGGATATCTGGCAGATAGACTCTTGAAAATGAACAAAGCAAGGGAAATAGAACTTCCAGCCAAGATGGAAGTGTAGGTAGATATCCTTCATTTCCTCACACAACCAAAAAAAGGATAACAACCGATTTAAAAACAAAAAAATACCCAGAACTGCCAGAAAATCAAATATCTGGAAATCCAACAATCAAAGTGTTAAAGAACAAACATTCATCAGACTGGTAGGAGGGGTGGATATGCACAGTCAGGGTGCAGAGGACATGCAGCAAGGTGGCGGATGGTGGACCAGGTGAGTCAGGAGGCAGCTGGTGGATTGAATGGTCCCACATTCTCACGTAGATAAAACAGGAGAAGCAACAGTGGACAGACCATGCAACCCAGAGATTCACCTCTGAGAAATAAAGCCTCAAAACCTCTGGCTGTAAATACCTATGGGTGTTGTGGTGGCAGGAGAAAGTGCTAGTCTCATAGGAGAGTCCATTGGAGGGGTTCTTGGGGTCTTAGAATGTACACAATCCTACATACCCAGGAATCAGCATCAGGGCAGCACCTGGAAGGGTGCAAATCACTTGTGGGACATGTGAGAAGTGACTGAAAGCTGAGCGAGAGCAGAGCAAGCAGCATTTTTCCCTCTCTGACTCCTCTCCCACATATTGCACCAAAATGCAGCAAAGTAGGTGGCCCTGCCCTGGTGAGTACCAAAGTCTCTGACCCTTACAATGTAACAGGTGCTCCAAGACAAAAGAAATATGGTCCAAATTAAAGAACAGATTCAAACTCCAGAAAGAGAACTAAGCAACAAGTAGCTAGCCAACCTATCAGATGCAGAGTTCAAAACACTGGTAATCAGGATGCTCACAGAATTAATCAACTACAGCTGCAAAATAAAGGAAGAAGTAAAGGCTATACAAAGTGAAATAAAGCAAAATATCCAGGGAACCAAGAGTGTAGAGAGGGACTGGGATTCAAATCAAAGATCTGAACAAGAAGGAAGAAATAAACATTCAACTGGAACAGAATGAAGGAACAAGACTTCAAAAAATGAGGAGAGGCCTAGGAACCTGAGGGACAACTTTAAGTGTTCCAACATCCAAATCACAGGTGTGCCAGAAGTAGAAAAGGAAGAGCAAGAAATTGAAAACTTATTTGGAAAAATAATGAAAGAAAATGTCTCCAATTTGGCAAAGGAAATAGACATACATGTCCAGAAAGCTCAGAGTCCCAAACAAGATGAACCCAAAGAGGAACACAGCAAGACACATCATAATTAAATTGTCAAATATTAAAGACAAGGAGAGAATCTTAAAGACAAAATGAGAGAGTTACCTACAAATGAGTTCCCATAAGACTACAAGCTGATTTCTAAAAAGAAAGCTTTGAGGAAAGAAGGGGCTAGAAGGGAGTATTCAAAGTCATGAAAAGCAAGCCCTACATCCAGGATTACTCTATCCAGCAAAGTTATCATTTAGAATGAAAGGGCAGACAAAGTGCTTCCTAGATAAGGTCAAGTTCAAGGAGTTCATCATTTCCAAGCCCGTATATATGAAATGTTAAAGGGACTTATCTAAGAAAAAGAAGATCAAAACTATGAACCGTAAAATGACAACAAACTCACAACTATCAACAACTGAACCTAAAAAAAAACCACAAAAAACAAAAATCAAAATCAAACTAAGCAAACAACTACAATAGGAACAGTATCACAAAAAATGGAGATCACATGGAGGGTTATCAGTTGGGAGGTGGACAGGGGAGAATAGGGAAAAGATACAGGGAATAAGAAGCATAATTGGTAGGTACAAAATAGGCAGGGGAAGGTTAAGAACAGTATAGGAAATGGAGACGCCAAAGAACTTACATGTATGACCCATGGACATGAACTAAGTGGGGAGAATGCTGGAAGGAATGGGAGTACCAGGTGGATGGGAATAAAGGAGACAAAAATAATGGCACAACTATAATAGCATAATCACTAAAATATACTTTAAAAAATGACAATGAACAAACCAAGGCTTTCACTTGAGGGAAAACAATCGACAGTATTTGTTGCCAATAATTAAATCAAGCTTTCAACTGATAATTAGATTTTAGAAACTTGTATCTGCTACTGTAAGCTTGATGCCTTTGGAAAACAACGGCTTTAAAAAAAATTAAATTGGGATGAGATTAATGAATGTGATTCTTTGATATCATATAATAAAACGGGTCAAATTATGGAGGGTCTACATAATTCAATCAGTATCTTCCAATGCCTGCTTATGAAAAATCATACATGGGTAGAAAAATCCATTCAAAGTGCTAGAAAGACCACTGGATTTTAACAAAACAGAGTGCAAAAAGTTCATTAATATAATATCAGATTTCACATTGTTACTAACCTTTAAGAAACCACCAATTTGAGTTTGATGTAGTATTAAAGAAGAAAATGCACAGTTATCTGAAAAGGCTATGAAAAGACTCCTCCCTTTTCTAATTACAAATCTTTGTGAGACAGATTTCTTCATATACTTCTATTTAAACAACATATTGCAACAGATTGAATGCAGAAGCAGATATGAAAATTCAGCTGACTGCTGTTAAATAAAAAATTAAACAGGTTTGCACATATGTAAGAAAATGCCACTATTTTCACTAAAATGTTGTTTTGAAAGATGTGTCTAGTTTTCATTAAAATGTGTTAACATGTACTGGAGTTATTATTTTCTTATAAATTAATACACATATTTTTTAAATTTGCATTTTAACTTTCCAATATAGTGGATATTTATAGCTGTAACTCATATAAACAAAAGATCAATGGGTCTATAATAATTTTTAAGATATAAAGGAGTTCAGAGAGTAAAAATCTGAAACCTACTACTTTTAAAAATGCTGCCATTATTTGATAGCCAAAGCTGTCAGACCAGAGGAAAATTTATTTCTAGACAGTCAAAATCCATTGCCATCAAAGTAATGTTACTACATTTCCCCCCTTTATCCCTCTCCAAGTTAGCAGCAAAATGTTTTCTAAAAATAAATAAAATTATGCAAGCAAACATGAAGTGACCGTTTCTTAGACTCTTTAAATATTAAGTGTTTAAGCACACTTTCATGTGTATTATATTTTAATAATTTAATTAAGTATTAAATTAATTTAAAAAGTATTATGTTAATCAAATTTTGCTGTTTTTAATCCAAAGTGTCAGGGACAATAGTGAATTGTCATATTGGCAAAGATGCTTTAATAAAAACTTAAACTCACCTGTAAATACATTTGGATGAGGGAAGTTAATAACAATAAGCTTCACCACCATTTCCGGATAACAGATGGCAAACAGCCAAGCAATCATGCCGCCCCAGTCATGGCCAATAAGAACACATTTGCTATAGCCTGTAATCAAGAAATAAATGCTGGCATTGAAAAGAAACAGGTGGGTGCATCATGGATTCACATAAAATAGGTACACTTCTGAAGCTAATCTTTCCACTCTTCTACCCTAATTATGCGGTTTGTGCTGATACTCAGTTTGGTATTACTAAAACTCGTATATCCAAATCACCTAGGTAGCTTTTTAGAAAATTCAGATGCCCAGGCTCTACTCTAGACCTGCAAATTCAGAATCTGTCCCAGGAATGAATATATACTCACACATATACACACTTCTGAAATAGTTAGGAAACCGTGATTAAGACTATGTATAATTGGGTCATAAGCAAGAGTTAATCTGAGTTGCTTTTGAATGCTGGAAAATTTTTAGTAAAATCATAAATGCTTTATATATGTCCACCTGGTAAATCTTTATTTCAAAAACCATCTATTTTTTCCTAACATCACAGATTCAATGTTACAATTCAACACAGAGAAATATCAGTAATTTTTAAAATTCTCGTCCAAGGACATTTTTTTCACTGCTTTTAGAGAGAGGAATGAAGAGAGAGAGAGAGAGAGAAACCTCAATGTGAGAGAAAACATCTGCTAGTTTTTTCCCCTATAAGTCCCCTGACCAGGGGTTGAACCCAAAATCTAGGTATGTGCCCTGAATGAGTATCGAACCTGTATGTTTTTGGTTTATGGCATGACACTCCAAGTAACTGAGCCACACTGGCCAGGAATAAAACATCACTAATTTGGAACTGTAAAGTCAAACTGACTTAGTGGAAAGTCTTAATTACAGTGCCAATTATAAACAAGTTTCATTTCATGTAATCAGTATGGTAATTTAAGTTAGGTTAAAATATTGATTAGTAGTGATTCCTACAGGATTTCCTTTGTATGAATAGATAAGATTAATTTGTAATTTATTTCTACAGTACTTAAAATTAATTTTTTCAAGTATTTTTCACGGTCATCCCACCACTACACACACATACACAGAAACATCTACTTTATATATTAATTTGCCTAGAAAATTGCATGGTGATAAATTTAAGCCAGGTCTGGCTGAATTACCACAAAATATGAATGAAAAATGGCTATTGGAAATTAGTATCACTGAGTCTATTTTATTGTAATCAGACGAAATGACAACCCTGCACTGACACCCCCAGACTCATCCATTTTTTTCTCCTCTAAGAATATTGACCTGATGTATGCTTTCATTAGATTGTTATAGAAAGGGACTTTAATTTGATTTCATGGATTTCTCACTGGCTCCATTACATACCAGTGGTACGGCTGGGTTTTGGTCAGAAGGGATGTAGTGAATTAGACTGTTGTTAAAAAAACATTTACTCTCCCCCTCTCCCCACTGCCATATAAGAAGTATACTTTGCTGCCCCTTTGATATTAGCCTGGACCATGTGATTTGCTTTGCTCTTGCAATGGGTATATGACTGGATCGTGGGCTCAGCCATATGGCTTGCTTTGGCCAGTGTGCTGCTAGTAGAGACCTTAAACATGTGTGCAGCTGAGCTCACTGTCTTGCCATTTCTGCCACTGCCAGGAAAAGAGCTTTCCTCAGGTAGCTATAGCTACCTTCCACTCTAGCTTGGGTTCTAACCCAGCTCACAGTGGGAAGCCAGTCCCAGCTGGAACTACAGGTCAGCCTGAGGAAGAAACTCAGAAGTGTCCAGCCTACAGTTGATCTGTAGATTCATGAGCATAAGAATAAATGCGTATGGCTGTATGCCATTGAGTATGGGGTAGTTTGTTATCTAAGATTACTGTGGCACTAACTGATCAATACAAGAAAGATAATGCAAATGCTGTTGCACTTAGTAACATTTTTAAATAACTATTTAGTTGTGTGTTCTGAAGACAAATTTTCTGAGTATAAGACTCAAATTCCCAATAATTAGTTCTGAAATTAGTAAATAGTAATATTTGGTCTATTTAAAAACAACAAATTTTCAAAGTCATTCTTGGCTGGTGGACTGAACAATTATTCTGGATGTATTATTTTAAATGTCCTGTATTTATTACTGTTTTGGTCTATGTTCCCGAAACCATGGTGACAGGATCCAGATAGTAACTCAGGTAGGTGAAAAATGCATCCTCTCAAAAAATGAGGTTATCCGATCACAATGTCTTGAATGTTAGTCCTTTAAAAATAATTAATATTGTTTTTTAATGTAACCTACCTAAAGAGTCTAAAATGTCCCTTATATCTGTAATTAGATAGTCCAGTTTATAATTCTCTCGATGAATGGGAGCATCTGTTTCTCCATAGCCTCTCAAATCCAGTGCTACAACTCGGTATTCAGTTTTAAATTCCCTTAGCTGATGACGCCATGAATACCTGCAGGACATAGGAAACATTAAAAATACCACAGTAACCAATACAAATAGTAATATTACAGATATTCTAGTGGAAAACTATAAGCAACTCCCTGTTTTGAGAAAGGATGTAGAGCTGAGCATGAGCAGAAAAGAACTGTTTGAGAAGAGAGCACTGACATTCCTTATTAAAATTATTATTATTATTTTTTTACCAGCACCAGTGGGATGTAACAAAGGGCCAGTATTTACAAAAACTACAAAATATCAGATGCTAAAATCAATATTTATTTTATGTATTTAATGAATCAATTTTCTAAGCTTTTCTGAAATAATTTGTGTAGCTATGAAGGAATCTATATCTATAAACGCTTCTGTATTGCAGAACCATTTGATTCTCTGAAAAAAATTTGAGATGAAAACTTATTTCTCTGAAAAAGTAGATTTGACTCATCCTACTCCACTGTCAAAGAGGGCTCATTGTTTTTTTAGTAATAACATTTTGCTTATGAATGAAAAAAAATCTGTAGATTACAGAAAGATTATGACTTAAACAATCCAGTAAAACAAATGGTTAAGACAAACCCCTTCTTGCTAAAACAAAATTCTCTTGTGGGAAGATCCTATACTATGAATACAAGCAAGTGTGAATAGTAAAAACACGAAACAACCAAAATGGCACTGGCGCTGACCAATTAAAATGTTCATATTGCGATTCATCTCCACTCTGAGCTGACTTCTCTGGGCACGTTTCCCCCAGCTCCTCACTTCATATATCATTCGGTTTTCTGTGACTCTTACAAGTGACTCTTACAAACTGTAAGGGCATGTAGAACACATGGTGCAGCAGCTATTCTGTAGTAGTTCATCAACTATTGGTTTAGAAAATGGAAGATAAGAAGGCACAACTGTAACCACTATAATGAGGATAATGCAAAGTCGGCAAGAGATACCCAGGAGGCAAAATATACACAATGAAAAAATTAAAAGAGGTTGAAAAGGCCAAACTACATTCCAGATTCCCCCCAATTCAAGGCACTTTGTGACTCTGAAAGGGTGGTTTAAACTGTCTTCAAGCTACATAGAAAGTGAATTTTGTAAAAAGGGAGCAGAAACAGGGGGTCATGATTTCTGGAAAACAAAACAAAACAAAAACCAAAACATCTCTACAGTCTTAGCAAGGAAAGAATCCAAGTCCCAAGGAGACCAGTGCTGAAGGGCACTTTTCTTCCTTGAACCTCAGTCCAGAGGTAGAGAGTAATGAGGAGCAAGATGCGGTTTTAGCAACCAAGGAGCATACACTCTGATTCTTGGCTGGTAAAAGAGGACACAAAAAAAGGTTGCTTCAAAGGAAGCCATCTGTCAGCAGGAATCATTCAGGGTGAGAACCAAGGAAGGCACACAAGAATTTTTCTGTATCTAAGAGAAAAAAAAAAAACCTGCAATAAACTTCACTTAATTTTTGGAGGAAAAAATGGCCATATAGCTCTAGCTGAGCCCTGGAGGCCTTTGCTGGGCCAGGCTTTCACTTTGTGCTTGATCATGGAATGGCAAATTTAATTTAGATACAGAGATTCATAAGATTTTCTTCTTCAAATGAGCAAAGTGATTTTGGATAACAAAGAAAAAAAAGATAGATTTTTCAAACTGATTTATTATGTTACGGAACTCAAAATATGTTGGGAGCTACCCTGCCTGGTTTCAGAAGCTGTAACCCCCCATGGCTAAGGCTGAGTAAGAGACCTTAGGACCATAAGCCACTAAGGAGACAAAGCTTATCTTCCTGGTAGGGGTGCAGCCTCTACACCCTGTTTGGCCCTAGGGGGATGACTGGTCAGCCAATGACAGGTAAGATTCCTCAAGGGAAGGAAGACCTAAAACAGGCATGGTTGTGAAGGGTCCCTCAGGGAAGGTCTTGGGGGGCTGTAGAAAAAGGGGGCAATGGACTTTCACTCCTCAACTTTGACACAGCCTGAGTCCTCATACTGTCTGCACGAAATCTCCTAATCTCTTGGCTGCCTTACTCCCCCTGCCTGACTTAACCCTGAAACAATGCTGGAGGTAGGTGCGGCCCTGTGCTGGAAAGGGCAGGTTCCCTAGGGCAATCAGGCCTAAGACAGAATGCATAAAATCCTGTGAAACCTGCTTTGTAAAGAATGTCCTCAGTTTTCTCCCATCCAAGTACTAACCAGGCCCAACTCTGCTTAGCTTCTGAGATCAGACGAGATCGGGCTCGTTCAGGGTGGTATGGCCCTAGACAAGAATGTCCTCAGTTTTCTGATAAGGGTCCAAGCATAAATGAGTTTGTTTCCCAAAGTTTTATGGCCCTTAGCTAACTGACCCTGACTCAAAATAAGCCCTCAGAGTTCTTTGAATGTTATCTATTGTTTGATCCTGACAATGATGAATGAAGACCTTCCCTGACGTAATGCTCCCAGAAAAGCAACAAAAACCTGTCCGGGCAAGGGCTGGGCACTCTCTCACTCAGAGAGTGGCCATATCATCCCTTTTCTCCACAGGAATTCTACAGTCTATGTGAATTTGTTTATCTCATCCATAACATCGTGGACACTGCTGGTCGGAGTCCGCATCAAAAATATGCTTTAAAAATTTGCATGCACATCTGTTCATGAATACATGGTGTAAAATAATCTGACATAAGCCAAATGGGCAGTTATTGTCTGAAAAGATTTTCAGAGTGCAAAAGGCAAGTGAACAGTGATCTGAGATTACAAACCAACAGTAAGTTGGGACTACAATGTGAAATGACACAGAGCAAAAATATCAATGAAACAAATTACCCACTTTACAGCAACAGACATTATCAGGAAGGGTGTCAGACACAGATCTGGAATTAAGACTGGATCCAGAATATTTCGTATATTACCAGGATATCTATGAGTTATGAAAATCTGTAAATCATTACCAATTAAAATGGATTTGAATATGTTAATACAGTGTCTTTCTTAGCTAGGCCATAGCAATATTGCTAATCTTCCCTCTGGGTTGTAACAAACAAATGAAACACTTTGTTTCCTTAAAGATGCTCATCTGTCAACCTATGATATTATTTTCTCATTAGCCTTACTTAAAATTTTGAATTGATTTTTTTTTATGTCTTTGTCATTGAAGCCTAACTCTTCCCTGTATATAATCCATCATGCCCAATCAATAAAGTTCTGGAGATTTAACCTCTTAAATATTTATTTAATCACTTTTTCTGTCCATCTCTGCATCATTGTCTTAATTCAGGACTCCATTAATGCAGCAACCTATTGATTAGTCTGTGTCCATTCCCTTCAGTTCTGCTTTCTACGAAACCAAAGTGATGTAGCAAAACCACAAACTCTTGCATGTAATTTCCTGCTTAAAATACTTTCTAAATACTTTATTACTCATATTGTGAACCCAACCTCTCTCTGGCAGACAAAACTTTCAAGATTTGACTACTACCCAGTCTTTCAGCCTGATTACTTCACACTCTTAGTCATTCACTACATGTATAATAAAAGAGTTGCATCTGTATCATTCTCACAGTGTGCCTGACACAATGGTAAGTGCTTCACATATAGTAATGTTGATCTTCAAAACAATACTATGAAGCAGGTATTATTATCATCCCCACTTTAGAGCTGAGGAAACAGGTTAATTAATGTACCAAAGGTCACAGAATTAGCAAGTAGCAGAGAGCAAGATTCAAATCCTGCTGCTTCTGGGGCACTAAGCTACTAGTACTAAATAAACACAGCACTGGTTTTTTGTTTTTTTGGGTTTTTTTTTTTTTTTGCTTTTATGGAGTCAGGGGATGTATTTTATATCCCCTGACTGTTTAATAACTACCAATCTGTACTTCTTTTTTTTTTAAGATTTTATTTACTTATCTTTAGAGGGGAAGGGAAGGAAAGAGGGAGAGAAACATCAATGTATGGTTGCCTTCCGTGCGTCCACTACTGGGAACTGGCCTGCAGGGAACCAGCCTGCAACCCAGGCATGTGCCCTGACTGGGAATCGAATGGTGATCCTCTGGTTCCCAGGCCTGTGCTCAATCCATTGAGCTACACCAGCCAGGGCCCAGTCTGTACTTCTTAATCCCTGAACCTCTTACCTAGCACCTACCCCCATAAAAATATGCATTGTTTTAATATTTTAAATATCTGTGTCTCATTCAGAATTCATTTAATTAGAGATTTCAAGGTAGAAGTTTGATTGAAAATAATGTGTATAATCTCAAAATATTTTACATTTAAAATTGTATTAGATATTATGCAAACATAATACCTACATATTCAATACCATAGTAATAATTTAAATTGCCTTACAAATAACTTTAACATTGTCATTATCATTATCAATGAGTAGAGTCAAACAATACCTTAAGAAATAGGACAATTGTTATTTTAATAAACTGCAAAAGAATAATTTTTAAATATAATCTTCCTGGAGTTTATAAATTAGGTATATTTGATATTTGATTTATACTTTAAACTGAAAAGGAAATCACATTTCTGCTAGAATGATGGACATGTCATTCATATGATTAATACAAAAACAAACCCTTTGATACAAAAATGAGACATATTACAAAATCAGTGACTTCTGAAAATATTATAAATAAACAAAACAAGCTATTTTCATCCATTTTTTTTTTCAGGTAGATTTTGGCAATAACAGAGAACTCTAAAAAAGCAACCTCAGAAATTCAAGATGGCAGAAGAGTAAGTCGAAGCTACACTCACTTCTTCCCAGGACCCATCTGGAATTACCACTAAATTATAGAGAAATCATCCTGAATAACCTACTAAACACTAGCTTGAGAGAAGTCTTATAACTAAGGACAGACAGAAGAAGCCACATCACCAAATGGTAAGGGACTGTGGAGGAGGCACGAGAGGGCTGGCTGGGCTCCCACAGGCATCAACTGAAGTGCTAGAGGGATATTTCAGAGGCCAGGGGTTCCTCCTGAGAAGTGCGGGGTCTAAATCCCAAGTGAGGCTCCTAGCCCACAGCAGCAAAGCTGGAAAG